AATTTTTGACATTTCTCTTTATATTTTATGCTTATAGCTTAGTAGTAGTTGCTATTTATTTAACACTAGCCTTAACCCCCCCCCCCCACACACACACACTATGGGGCGGTCTGGGTATTTCCCCACCAAATCTCGAAGCCGACGTGAAGTTGTGGAATAATATAGAAGAACCGTGAAGCCATCTGTTCTGACCTGTTCCAACTTCAATAAAGACAATGATGTATATAGTACACGGGGAGACATTGACTGCACGCTAGCTGCCATCAGGGCTATCTGCTTCCTGGTATAAATTTGTCTGACTAAAGGATCGAAGGAAAAGAAAAAGAAGACAATCAACGTCGCTGCACATTAGGCATTCTGCCAAAAAAAAAAAAAAATCTTGGAGCAGTGGGGTATCGATCCCCATACCTCTCACATGCTAAGCGAGCGCTCTACCATCTGAGCTACAGCCCCGGATGAGTGAGAGTAGGAGGAGAACCATAAAGTACGATGAAGTTCAACCTTACCAGGACAGTACGCAACGCTATAAACACCCGGTGACACAAAATGCAACCACTCGGATGATATCCATCAGGGCCCAAGTTCCAGAAACCCCGCTCAGCCGTAAAGCTGTATTAAAGCGCCCGACCACAACCGGGGTCGGGCTAAATAATAATAATGAAAACAATTGCATCCCGCAACGGGAAGGGATTAATTATGAAGTAATATTACTACTACGGGAGTCGTCGTGGTGACTGTAGCGGCTAGATGCTCGCCTGCGGATCGGAAGGCGTGGGTTCGGGTCTTGGCGGAGCCAGACTATTCAAAAATGACTTTGGCCCCCAGGTCGACCCAGCCTTGAGTGGGTACTAGGTGCATTCATGGGAAGTAAAGGCGGTCGGCGTAGTGCTGACCACGTCACCCACCAAGTGCCGATTGGTCTATAAAATAAAAGTCATTTTTTGTCTTCAATTTTTCATAAATTTATTGAGTGTGAAAAACAGTCTGAATACAATTTTGTAATATGTATTGTGCGTTTTATATATGCAAGCGTCTGCGGTGTGCGTCTTTTGTTCATTGTTCTTTACATACATGTGTTGCCGTTTTTTTAGCATTTAATATTGCAAGCGTATGTGTGACTTTGCGAACGTAAAAAAAAAAAAACACAGAAAGTGACAAAAAATAAAGGTCTATATGCTCAATACGACTTAAGGAGTGGAAAATGTGATTTAGTTTGACTGACTGACTGACTTTCCACCCCACCAGGTCATCACACAAGCGACAAACACCCGATGACACAAAGTGCCATCATGTGGATGAGGATCACCGTGGAGAGGTCCCGGAAACCGCGTTCAGACAATTGACCATACTTATGGCCTGCCTATATTGAAGCCCCTGGAAAAAGCCAGGGTTGGGCTTCAAATAACAAAAAATTACGTCCTAAAAAAGACGTAAGGATATTAATTGTTAATTGTGATTTAGTTTACATAGTAATGGTGAGTGAGTGACTTTCTACCCCACTAGGACATCACACAAGCGATAAACACCCGATGACACAACGTGCCACCATTGAGGATCACCGTGGAGAGGTCCCAGAAACCGCGTTCAGACATTTGGCCAAATTTATGGCCTGCCTATATTGCGGTCCCTGGCACAAGCCAGAGTGGGGCTTCAAAATAAAAAAAAAATTACGTCCTGAAAAGGACGTAAGGACTTTATTTTGTCGTCGCAATGTGATATTAATGACTGACTGGCTGACTTTCTACCCCACCAGGACATCACACAAGCGATAAACACCCGATGACACAAAGTGCCACCATGCGGATGAGGATCGCCGTGGAGAGGTCCCAGAAACCGCGTTCAGACATCTGGCCATATTTATGGCCTGCCTATATTGCGGCCCCTGGCAAAAGCCAGAGTAGAGCTTCAAATGACAAAAAATTTCGTCCTGAAAAGGACGAAACTGGATGTGATATTAATGGTGACACTATCATTATTACTTATACTATACGATGGTGAAAGATTATATCATAATTATAACATTTAATTTCTGAGAGTTTCTAAAAAAAAAAAAAAAAGAATGATGAAATTTTTAATACAAATAAATATTTTTCGTAGTATATAATTCCCCAGAAAAGCTGCCTAACTGAAACAATGATTATGGAGATATGTGTCCCGTGTCGAACCGTTTATTGACAGCTGATAAATTATTGTCGATGGCTTCCCTTGGTTGAACCTTCTCCCTGATGTGGTGTTTTCTCTACCACCCTTCCCGTGTTATCTCTCTAGTATCCACCCATTTCAAACAGTTAAGGATGTTTACTTTTGGGCTTACATTCACTTACTAACGGCCATTGTGAGTTATTCGTGCTTATGTTTACGCTAGAGTATGGGACATTAACAGCAGAAAGAATGTAAAAATATAATGATGCTGTAAATCACTTGGTGTACTTCATATCATATTGATATTCTAGGCAAGTCTAGGACTGAGATGAATAAAAAGTGTTTAGTGTATGACTAAACAATGAAATATAAAATTCATGTTTCACAGGCAACAGGTTGTATAAGGCGGAGGCAGAAGAATATCTATAGGCGGGGGCATACTGATTCATTGAACCTTAACGTGTCAGTCGTCAACACGTTTCATTTCATAATGAATGTTTGAAGTAGTTAAATTACAAATTCGGTTCATTTGGATCTTGTGAGTTACGGTCATTTCGCTGTTGTCATTAATTAATTAGTTCATTATTCATTATCAGAATTGTAATTGTTATTTAAAACAATATTTTCCTTTGTGATTTTTAAATATTGAAAATTTAAGCAGTATTCAATATTTTTTTCTTCATCTTCAGCGACTGTAACTGAAAGTTCTGGCTGTTCACTTCAACCACCGCTGGACTTTATCTTGTTCCAAAACCTGAATGTTGCCTACACATCCGTTTTACTTATTTGACTTATTTGTATGCAGATTGTTGGCGTTGGTTCCTTGCCTCTCAGGCGGATGCAGTGCCACTCTGACCTTGAAGGAAGCCCCACTTAGTCAACTCTTACAACATGTTTGTTGGGGAGGCAGTAGGTCTAGTTTTTAGTTTCCCCACAATGGGGTTAAGGAACCCACATGCGGAATATTCATTATTACTGTATTGGACAATTTATATCCATTCATATTTTGTTGAACTTGTACCTCATCAGATGCATACTTTGGACTTCTTCTTCTGCCTTTCTAACCCCCAATGGAGCATAGATCCTCAACCAACTCAAACCAAGTCGTTCTATCATTTGCTACCAAATGCAGCTCTTCCCCTATGTCCTCAGCATCTTTTTAACTTCGCTCTCTAGCTTTTTCTTCATGTGTTTTTTGGTCTTCCTTTATTTCTGTGCTGCTGTGGGTTCCAGCGCAAAGACATTCTAGGTATACGTTGTAGTCTGCAGTACAGCACTTTTTCTCCAGGTCTCCACATGTACCTTATTTTAGACTCCTGATGATGAGTACCACCTTTTTTCTAGAAAAAAGGGTTGACTGCTGCTACTACTACTACTTATACTGCTACTACAACTGCTACTACTATTACTACTGCTGCTGCTACTACTACTACTGCTGCTGCTACTACTACTACTACTGCTGCTGCTACTACTACTGCTGCTACTGCTACTAGTTCGACATTGAACAGACACAATTTGTTTTCAAGAAGCAATTTATCCTGACCCTAAATATGACTAGGAACCTCAACGAGGAGAAAAGAAAAAACTTGCACACATTTTTCTCAAACATTTTGACTAAGCCATATTTTGACCAATTTCTTTATCAACAAATAAAAAACACTTATCCTAAGCCACAACCACAAAAAACGTGACCCTATGATCATGAAAAATCTTTTGTCGAAGTGTTCAGTTGTATCTGTGCACATTTTTCCTTCCCACTCATCAAGCTTCTTAGTCATTTTGTTATTTTATTTTTAAAATATCAGCTCAACTGCAGACACCCATTTTCAAGACTTACTTTATTTACCTCTTTATACCCAACAGTTCTAAAAGCAGATGTGGTCAAGGCCCTTTGGGAACAAGCAACGGAATCAGTAGAGAAACAAGAATATTATGGCCTGGAGAGAATGAGGCACCTTGGTGTAACCAGAGGGTCTGGCCGGCTCACTACACTCAGAGGAAAGGCAAGATGGACATATAACCAGATTGTGATTGGTACCATCAGTGTTGGAACTCTGCGCTGGCTGCTGAAGATGAGGACGGAGCACACATGGGAATGCCCCGAGTGCTGTGATGTCAATTCTTGATTCAACTCAACTCAACCAGGAATGATTTATAGTGAAATTTGCACTGATTTGTGCAGTTATAAAGCATTGACAATGGTGATGTTTTGGGCACATCCCAAGTAGAAGCCAACAGAGAATCACTAAACATGCACTGAAACGAGAAAAACATGAATTAAAGAGACAAGGATGACCAGAAGAAACCTCAAGACTAACATTGAGAGAAGCCTTGGTTGCTGGGCTGGATTCCATCTATGATATTGAAACAGCTGCACGAGATAGAATGGAGTGGAACAGTAAACTGCGAGCCCTGTATGATGCCTAATGGCATAGCAGGATGATGTTAATGATGATTTGTGTAGAAAAAGAAGTAAAAGAAGAAGACAGCCAGTGAATCCAAATGAAGAATTGAGTTGAGTTGATTCAAGAACCGACTTCACAGCACTCAGGGCATTCCCATAAGCGCTCAATTGCAAATGAAGAATAGACATTGGCAAACTAATAGAAAAAGAGCAAGGGAAGGTAAAGGGTTAAATAGCTAGAGGATTTTACCACATGACATACATGAAACTAGAGTACAAATGTGATATAAGACTCCCATGTACTTCCATGAGTACAATTCAGTAAAATGGAGGAGCATGACTGACTATTGCCACGGCACATGCTCATGATTATTATTGAAATTATGAATACATTATAAAATGTCTGATAAAAATTCATGTATTTTTTTCTTTTTTTACAGCATTGAATCAAATTATGGCAGAGCAAAATGACAACACAGGATATAAAACAGTGGGTAAGCATACTTCTTCTGTTGAATTCTGAGTGTTGAATTAAGAATCGACATCACAGCACTCAGGACACTCCCATAAGTGCTCAGTCCCCTTCTTCAGCAGCAAGCGAAGAGTTACAATTCTGATGGTACCAGTAACCATCTGATTGTATATCCGTCTCATCCTTTCCCTGAGTGTCGAGCGGCAACCAGATTTCATGTTAACTCCTCGCAGCGCCATTATCCTTAGACTGTAATGATCTATCTGCACCTCCGAACTGTTCACCCATTCCCACAGGGCCCTCACAATATCTAATTTGTCAGACATCATTTCACCACCAAGTGGTGCAGAGTCAGCCAGTCTATCTGCCTGCTAATTTCCCAACACACCGGCATCACCTTAAGAAAATATCCAAAGGATGCTAACTATCCGGGACCTCTAAAGTGATGCATGCCACTCTGCACGGAGCATGCCTGTTTTCACCTTTCTCAACATGCTTGTGAGTCAGTTACAATCACAGCATGTGTGTATAGCTGATTCTTAAGCCAGCGGAAGACAGCAGTAACTGCCTCCACCTCCGTTCTCAAACTTGATGTTGTGATATCATATGCAAGGCTTTGCTGCACTAGGTGATGTACATTCACCTTTGCTATGAAAACCCACGCACTTCATCTGCCCCTCAACACAGAGCCATCTGTATAGATAATCACATCACTTGGGTGGGTATACTTCTTCTCTTAGCTTTGGAATACTTCTTCTCTTAGCATCGACTATTAATAAACTCAGGTGGAAAGTTCTGGTTGTTTGTCCACTTCTGGTCTTTAGTTATGTGTTATGAGTTTGAACTTTGCATGCATATCTATTTTACAGATCTGGCTTATTTGTATGCAGACTATTGGTTACGCACCTCTCAGGCAGATGCACTGGAATTAGAAGGAAGCACCCCTAATTAGTTGCCTGTTATGACACGCTTGTTGTGGGGAGAGGGGGAAGAGCGGGTCTCCTTTTCCTGGCTGTATAGTGACATATAATACATCAAATTAAAGAGACCAATAAATGCAGATAGCTTCTAAACTATTTAAAGATAAATATTGCAACAATGGCCGGGATTCGCCGTGGCAGAGCATGGGTTTGCTTCCTGGCACAGCCTGACTTTTTCAAAAATGACCCTGACTCCTAGGTCGACCAAGCCTTGAATGGGTACCGGGTGGTGCAGTCCTGGAAAGTAAAGGCGGCTGGCATGATGCTGACCACATCACCCAAGCTTGTGCCGATTGGTCTATAAAAATATGGGTCTAGCCCTATATGCCCTATACACCTAAAGGTGTGGAAAAGGGACCTTTCCTTTCTTTAAAAAAAAAGTTCAACAATAACATATTAAAATTACACCACACCTGATGATGTCAGACACACAGGAAGTTTTTCCTTTCTTTTGTCATCTCACTGATACCAGGTTGTAGCCCAGTTTTGTGGTTTTCTGTATTTGTCTTGCGCTTCTTGGGTGGCCTTAGTGATGGATTTGTTCATCCTTTTGCAGGCTTTAACTACACCATTTATCAATTTTTTCTTGGTCTTCCTCTCGCCTTCCCCCCAGATGTTTTGCTTTAAAAAGCCTCAGATGCAGTTTGGTCTGGCTGCATTCTTATTAGGTGGCCAAATCATTTCATTCTTTGTCTGTCAGTATAATCCAGACATGGTCTTATTCCAACTTTCTCTCTAATGCTGGTATTTGTAACCCTGTGGTGGCGCGGTGATTTCGGTCACAGGCATGAGGGGAAGTTAAGTCTGATGTGATGTGTATAAGGAGATATTTCGTACCCCACTCGGGCACCAGTCCTTCACTGTTCTGGTTTTACGGAACCTCATGCAAGACTCCTGCTACACGTCCCCGTCGTGCGCCACGGATAATGTCTCAAATGAGCATTAACAGAGTCGGCAGGGGATCTCGGAGCTGGCGGCCCCTAGAGGTGTAGTATCCTTTCTGGCTCTCACCAGCCCGCCCCCAAACATATGGGTGAAAAGTATAACAAAACTCATTCGGAACATGAGTAAAGATTGCTTGCTAAATGTACCATCAAATGACAACTCTCGGTTAAAATTCGGAAGCGAATGGAAAACTGTGCTGCTGAGACTCAACCCTGACCGAGAGATTTACCCGCAGCCAAGACGAGTAACATCTCTTGTGGGCGACTTCTCGCAGCAAGATCCTACCTATGTACAACCTCAAGCCTCAGTGTCGTCGTCACCGCGCTGAGGTACACCACGACAGCAACTTTTCATATGCTGGCTTGGAAATAATGTCCGACAAAGTTATATCCCACGGCACACAGACAAGCTCAGAGTCCGACGATCATAATTCGTACCGATTAGGAAAAGTCCGAATGTCCGTATCCACTGGTCCAACTCGCCCGAGTGTTGGGACCAAACAGGTGAAGCCACGCCTGACGCATTCTGCTTCCCCATTCTGCCGTGCTAAGGGCACAGCTGAAACAACGTTAAATGTGTCTAACGTAAGATGAAAAAGAATGTACCTATTTGTGTGGCCACAAACATCCTAGACCTGCGGGCTGCTCCCCGCTGATCTCCGGAGAGCGCAGCCTTGTAGCGCGGGAAGCTCAATACACGGTTGTGAGGTTAAGCAGTCATAGGCAGGACGTGACGATTCCTTGGGTGAGCCCAGAACCAGAGCATCATGTGTCGGCTCTGCATTTATGGAAGCCTCCTTGGATGGCGGGGAATGCCCATGATCTGCCCCTGCCTTCCCCTGAGGGCTGAAAACTCTACATAGAGCTGCCTTAAGGACGACATGCCGGGGGCCACACCTGTTAAAAGTCAAAGAGGACACCACACAAATGAGGCAACATCTCGACCCACACAAAACAATGGCCACAATCAACCTAGAAATAGGCTTAACGTCTTCCTCCGAAGTTGGAGTACATCTGCCGGAGAGGCGGGGAACGAGTACTGCAAACAAATAAGCCAGTAAAACGGATGTACACGCAAAACTTAGGACGCGGTAAAAGCCAAAAGTCCATTTTGGACGAACAACCGCGACTTACCGCCGGAATTCACAGCCGGTGAACAAGAAGAAGAAGAAGAAGAAGAAGTAACCCTGTATCTTTTTGTGTTGTTGGTGAACCTATGGAACAGCGCATTTCACATATAGTTTATATCTATTTTAGTGCCCTGTTCATTGTCCATGTTTGACACTGGTAGCATAAAGGAGGGATAAAAATGCTATTAAACATTTGCTGTTTTGCTAAAAGGGAGACATTTATGTGTCTAAGTAGTGTGACTAACTAGCCTTCTGTACTCTGGCTTCTATCACTCTTTCTAGTCTGCCATCCTCCTATATATTTTATAGATCAGTGGGCACTCAGTGGGAGATGTGATCATCATGATGGTCACCTTTACTTCCCAGAACTTCCTAGTACCCATTTAAAGTTGGGTCGACCAAGGTCATTTTGAAAAATAGTCCAGCACCATCAGGACCTGAACTCACAACCGTTGGGTCTGCAGGCAAGAGTCTAGCCTCTACACCACGGCATCTAGATAAATTTTGAGGGCTATTCTAATAGTTTGGCTGTTCTTCTGTTTCAGGAAACAGTGCAGCAGACAATGAGCTGAACATAAAGGAAGATGATCTGTCTAGCACTGAAGATCCAGAGTTTGACTTTGATAATGATGATGATGATCAGGACAACGAGGGTGATGATTTTAGAGAAATGAAAATCAATAAAGAACGTGAGTATATAATTCAGTTAAGTCGCACAGTTGTAACAAAGAATATAACTTTATTTACTGTTAAACTGAGGTGAGGTAATTCCATCTAGAACTCTACTGTTAAACTGAGGTGAGGGCATTCCATCTAGAACTCTGCTGTGAAGCTGAGGTTAGGACATTCAGTCTAGAACGTTACTGTTAAACTGAGGTGAGGACATTCCCCCAGAACTCTGCTGTAAAACTGAGGTGAGGGAATTCCATCTAGAACTCTACTGTTAAACTGAGGTGAGGGCATTCCATCTAGAACTCTGCTGTGAAGCTGAGGTTAGGACATTCAGTCTAGAACGTTACTGTTAAACTGAGGTGAGGACATTCTATTAGAACTTTACTGTTAAACTGAGGTGAGGGCATTCTATCTAGAATTTTACTGTTAAACTGAGGTGAGGACATTCTATCTTGAACTTTACTGTTAAACTGAGGTGAAGGCATTCCCCTCAAACTTTACTATTAAGCTGCAGTGAGGGCATTCCATTTCGAACTGTACTGTTAAACTAAGGTGAAAGGTATACATTCTGTCCTAACCTCTAGGTAGTAGTTGAAATGCCCATACAAAGATTGTTGCAAATGAGATGGTGAAATTTTTTTCCTTAACAATTTGGTTTGTTAATCCTTTCACCCTCAGAAGTCACAAACCTGGCACTTCCGTTTGGACCCAGTTCCTCATAAATGTCCTGAAACCAGCTCGTCTGTGGTGACCTTTATTTGCAAAGAGAAGTTTAATATAGCTGGTTCTGTTCGTGACTGCCTAGCATTTTCTGTGCTAAAAATTTAAAAGGGTTTCCTTGTGAACCAAAATGCTTTTTAAAAGCTAGATTGACCAGATTGTTCCGAAAGCCACAGTGGTAGAGGTCACAGGGTCACATTATGAGTTTCCTGATAAATATATTGTTTTAGGCCCAGAGAAATGTATTCCATTTAATGCTTCATTCTGTTCATGTTTATTCATTACTTCCTTTTCAAATCTTTATATATTTTTTTTCAAGAAAAATTAACAAATGACGCTAACTAAACTTAATAGAAAATTATTAGTTACCCATGTTAAAGGATTTGTTTTTTTAAATTCCCATGGGACCACCGTCTACTTTTTCAGCGCACCAGGGGTTACAGGGTTAAACAGTAAGAAGGAGTATATATTAAGAACAATGGGAGCTGCAATTACACAGTCACTTGCACACTTGCCTGCTGGCTTGGGTGTGAGAAGTTTCAGTTTCAGTCAAGACAGATTAAAAAAAAATTGTCTTGCACTCTCAGGTTAATCTGAGGATGATTATAAGAAAATTTTCTGTGAAGTAAAGACGGCTAACACGATATTGCACACATGACCCATTGATGTGGAGGAGCGAGCTGACAGGCTAGGACAGTGGGGTCTCATTTGAGAGGCTGGATTTCATCATTAGTAGGATTAGTTTTCATTTTTCTGTAAGGAGCTGAAATAAATAGTATTGTGAATCAGTTCCACTGATGATATTCCCCCATACCATTGCTGTAGGCTGTCAAACATACATTTTCTTTCTCTGCCTTTGCCTCTTCTACTGTTGATCTTTCCAATCACCACAATGTTCTCCAGTGCCTCTCTTCTCATTACATAACTGAAGAAAACTGAATGCCTATTTCTTGTAGTTGTAAAAAAGTTGTATAATTTTATTAGCCATTTCCAGGCGGTCGTTGTGAGTTACTCTGGTTTTCCGTGGTATCCATAGCATATGTCTCAGAAACCACATCTCCGCGGCCTCCAAATTCTGAATTCACATTCCAAGATTCACAGCCATATAACTGTGCTATATATGACTTACGTTACCGACAGTCAGAATCTAAGTCAGCTTGCTTTTTCAGTTGTGCTGGAAAAGAACAAAGGAAAAAAGGGAGCAGTCACCTTATCTTCTTTTTTCTTCTTCTTTTGTTCGCTTGAAATAAATTATCTTTATCTGCAGTACTGTCTCTAGTTTGAACTTCATTATCTTTTGTAATTCACTTAGTGGCCCATAATTTTTGGCTTCCAGCACTGTCTCTCTTAGCAAGAAATTTTGTCTGGAAATGTTGTGTCTAGGACAGTCTTGGAGGAAATATCATATTCTTCTTCTCAGTAACTTCATGACACTTAAACATTAAAAATTTTTTTTTTATATTTATTTATATATTATTTTATTTTTTTTATTATTTTTTATTTTTATTATTATTTTTATTATTATTTTTATTTTTTTTAATTTTATTTTTTATTAATTATTTATTTTTTTTATTATTTTTTTTATTTTATTTTATTTTTTAAAATTTAATTTTTATTTTACTTCAGGTGTAAACAGCCACAATGGCGGTACGCTTTTTCGTCCGTTGAGGCGAATGGCGCAAATTAACTATTTTCGCTCACGTATAATGTGAAAGTTTCATCGGAATGGGGTCTGAACCGTGCAATGGAGTACATGCATGTGAGTTCAGACTTCCCTCAGGGTGTATTCAACGTCCGATGGCGACTATTTACCAATTCAAAACAACCCGTAGACGGACAAGGAGAACGCGAACAGGCAAGCACGGTGGCGCCTGCAGGAAGCGACTGAAATGTGAGAGACTCAGCTTAAAATATGTTCGCGTTCTCTACTGGAACTGCGCTTCGTTCAGTCAACGCCGACCCATTTTTGAGAAGCTCTTTTACAGCAACGACATTGTTGTCCTACAGGAAACACACCTCGGTGACGAGATCGTTAAAATTGCGGGCTTCCAATCCTTCTACAATAGACGGCACCTCAGACAGCTCATTCTTGTTTGTGACAACATACCGGTGTCTGAGGTGGACATGTCTGAGTGGGATAATGACGACCTACAAGTACACGCAGTCAGAGTGTTGGGCCCGGCCCAGTTTGTGATTGTCAATGTGTACGCCTGCAATGGAAAGGTGGATACAGCGAAATGGCAGAGTTTGCTCCAGACGGAGGAAAAGAAAGTCCTTTACTGCGGAAATTTCAACGCCAGAGGAAACCAGTGGGGCAATGTAATCACCAATAAACAGGGGGAAGACCTGGAGGATGCCCTAGTGTCTGCCGATCTAGTATGCTTGAACGACGGAAAGGTTACCCGAATGGCAACCCAAGAAGGGGATTCTGTCAGCGTAATTGACCTGGCCCTAGTGTCTCCCTCCATTGCATCAGGATGCAGGTGGAGCACACTGGGATACCATGACAGTGATCACTTTCCTTGCGTCGTCCTGGTGGAGAAGAGCAACAACAAAGGTCATGTAATCAATGTGCCTGCTTTTCTATATGACCGTACAGGGCAAGATGCCATTAGCAAAATCAGACGACGTAAAACAAAAGCAGATCACAGACGGCGGGAGAGATGGGCCCAGCCACCATGGTGGAATGAAGTAGTCAACATGGCGTGGCTAGAAAAAAGGAACGCTGTCAATTCATGGCAAAAGGCAAGGAAAATTGATCCGTCACTTTCTGAACGCCTGATCAGTCTAAAAGATGAGGTTAACAAGCGGACAGTGGCTTTCAAGTTAATTGCCAAAGAAGCCAAGACAGCGAAATGGAACGAATTCTGCAAGAACGTTTGCTCCGAGGGATCTCTTGTGACATTCTGGCGCCTTCAACGGAGCATGCACGGCGCCGCACGACCAAGGGGTATCCCTGATTTTCAGGGTACAGACCTGATATGGCAGAGAAATGATGCTGATAAAGGAAAAACCCTTCTTGCGCGCTACTTGGAGCAAACTGACCAAAAAGACGAAGCTGCAAGAATAGGGGTTAAGATGAAACTGTCGATGCTGTGCGAGAACACTGAGCTAGGCACTGATTTCACAATCACTGCAGACACCTTAAGAACTTGCCTCAAGAAATCGTGCAGCACTGCTCCAGGCCCTGACGGCATCCGATACAATGACATGCTGATGATGTCGAATGCTGATTTGAAAAGCGTGGCAAAGGAATTCAATATCAGCATCCAGAGTGGCCAGATACAAGAGGAATGGCTCCATAGTTATTTGTTCCCACTACCAAAGCCTAATAGAGACCACTCAAAGATCTGCGGCTACAGAATCATCTCAATGCAGAATACTGTTGGCAAACTTTTGGAAAAAATTGTCGCACAAAGATTGACCACCTACTTGGAACTACATGATAAGTTCCCATCAACACTTGGAGGGTACAGGTTGAAGAAAGAGACATGGTTCAATGCTGCTGTTTTCGCCTACGATGTGTACGAGGGATTTCAGATTAAAGAAGAGACATGTGCGGCAGTGTTGGACTTAGAAGATGCCTACAATAAAGTACCATACGAATATTTAATGCAATTACTGCTTAAACTAGAAGTCAATCCTATTCTGATCCGCTGGATTGCTGCGGTCCTGTTCCAGAGAAAGATTGTACTAAGATGTGGTAGCTGGTCCTCAGAACCGCAAACGATATGTCCAGGCTTGCCACAGGGATCACCGCTATCACCAGTCTTTTTCAACGTTTATACAGTGATGATCACTGAGCAGCAGTTGAATGGAAAGGGAAGGACTTTGTCATTTGCTGATAACATTTTGATTTATCGACGAGGGCGTGATAGACAGGAGATCGCCAGCACAATGCACAAAGAACTCGATCGAATTGTCGCCTGGTGTGATGGTTCCAATGCCTATGTCAATCCTTCGAAGGCATCAGTGTCATGGTTCTCTTTGAACAATCACATTGTCAAGTCAGACTTACCAGAAGTGAAAATGCGTGATAATATATTGATCAGAACCAACGTTATGACGTTTCTCGGGGTGAGGTTCGATCGCAGCTTGTCATTCAGGGAACACGTTGACCATGGGATAACAAAAGCACGCAAAGGTCTATCTGCAATTAGGATTATGGCTGCTTCCAATATCGAGCAAAGACTACTAATACTTCTATTCTACGGTCTGGTCCTTTCACCCATTGAATACGCTCTGGCCATCCTCACTGTCAGTGCTACCCAGATTGAAAGACTCGAAAAGGTGCAAAATGAAGCCATGCGCATTATTTTGGGATGTACAAGAGACACATCCTGTGAAGCAATGAGGTATCTACTTGACTTTCCAACAATGAACCAAAGGATCAGGACGTGGAGGGCTCGGGCATACTTCAAAATATGTGCTGATAAGAAACACCCACTGCATCAAGCGCTTTTTAGTGAAAAGGGCGACAGACTGAAGAGGGGAAAATCGTGGCTAGGTCGGGCAGAAGATGTTATTAGGCAAATATGCAGCCTAACCGACATCATACCTGGTGCAGAATGGATACCTGTGCCTCAGGCGTTTATTTGTACATTTTCCTGTATTGTCACACTCAACAGGCGATGTAGAGAAGAGAATCCTGTTGCTGTTAATGCAGAGGTCAACGCTCTCATCGGTGAAAATTCAGACGAAGCAGATGCACTAATCTATACAGACGGATCCGTTATACGCCAAAGAAGAAGCGCATGGGCATTTACAGCACGCTCAGCGGGCAGAACAGTCAAAGAAGCCAACGGTGCCTTCTCCATGACAACCAGCAGCATGACGATGGAGGTGATGGCAGTGAATCAAGCGTTTGCCTGGCTTGAAACACAAAAATACACCCGCATATGTATACTCAGTGATTCAATGAGTATGATCCCGAGGGTTCAGGCAGGTTCAGTGCGAAGACAATGGCTTGAATCATTACAGAAGTCCACTGTGCGTGGAGTCACCTTTATTTTTGTTCCGGGATACGCAGGCGTCGATGGAAATGAAAGTGCTGACAAGTTGGCTGGATCCGCTATCACTACCGACGGTCGGCCTACGGATCATGCTGATATTATCAATGCCCTCAGAGAAATGGGAAGGATAGAGGACTTTGGTGGCAGTGAATCCACATCACTCGCCAGAATGGCCGACTTGGGAATTAAGATCGGCACAGCAAAAAACGAGACACACACCGGACACGTCAGAAGACTTGTTAATCAACATAGAACTGGTACTATTAGCCATCGGACGTTGGGGTTCATACTGATGGGAGGATCTGAGCACCTATGGACATGTCCGGAGTGCAATGACGATAACCCAACTAACTAACTAACTAACTAACTAATTTTTATTCGAAGATAAAATTTCGTTGTGCCTATTTACACCATGGCTGCGATATTTGCTCCTTTCAGCCGACATATCTGATGGCAGTAAGCAAGAGTAGACAGTGGTAAAAGGGGATAGATAATATAAAGAGATGAACATGCATACGTTCTGAGAAAGTGGATAACCAGGGCGAGAGACCTAGAGTAATTAGAGTCTGTTTTAGCCAACCTTTATTGTGGAGACAGAGCCTGATTGATTGAATTGATTATTATATTATATTTTTAAATACTGTTATCACTTTGTTACTGTGTCAGTGAGTTAACTCTTTCAATCCCAGGGAATTTAGCATCAGAGGCACTAGGGGTGGTAAAGATAGACATAAAATCGGCGCATCTTGCATTCACTGGGCTTCTAGGTAGAACATATGATGCGTTCCTTGGTACTGAAAGAGTTAAGAACCAACATCACAACAGTCTGGACATTCCACTATGTTCTCTGTCCTCAACTTCACCAGCCAGCAAAAAGTTCAGATTCTGATGGCAAAAGTAGCAGTTTGATTATGTGTCTGCCTTACCTTTCCTTTGAGTATAGAGTGTTGGCCAGATCCCTAGTCATGCATCACTGCACTATTCTCTCCCCACCATAACAATCTGTTTAAGCTTCCACATTGTCTGTTCACTTGCTGCCAAAGGACCTTGACCACATTTTACTTGACATGCATCAAATCACCACCCAGTGATGCAGCACCAGCCAATCTCTCTGCCTGCTCATTTACCAACACACCTACATTCCCAGAGACAAGTTCCAAAGAATGCTATCATTGCTTGCCACTCTGAACAGAGCATGGCTTTCTGGACTCTTCTCAGCATATTTGGCAAGTCTTTTACAATCACAACATGTATGTGCAGTTGGTTCTCAGATTGTTTACTGTATTTCGATGTTTATTTTAGTAGTAAAATATGACTGATCTCATTTGTTACATAGTATTTATGTTTTATATTCTAGACACTGCAAACATAACTGATGGCGCATTCAGAGAAGACGCAGTATCAGCTGATGGGCTTATTGATGAAGACTTTGAAAAGGAACTTGGAACTGCTCATGTTGTAGGTGTTGTACATAGATATGAGTTGTACATAGATATGAGTTGTACATAGATATGAGTTGTACATAGATATGAGTTGTACATAGATATGAGTTGTACATAGATATGAGTTGTACATAGATATAAGTTGTACATAAATATGTGTTGTACATAGATATGAGTTGAATGTCATGATGATATTACTCTGTCAGAGTTAGTTTCAATGCAGTCTTTTATCCTCCATATTAATTTTCACTGTCTGTTAACTACAGTAGAAGGTTCTGTTGGTTCGTCTACTTCTGGACCTTAATCTTACTCCAGAACTTGAGTTTTGCAGCACATCCTTTTACATATCTGGCTTATTTGTATGCAGACTGTTAGTTCCTCATCTATCATGCAGATGCTCTGTTTGAAGGAAAACAATCCCCAGCTAATCTCCTTTAACAGCATGCGTGTTCATTTTCTCCATGGGTCAATTCTCTCCCCCCTTCCCCCCCATTAAGCACTGAATCCACATGGGTACATGCAGTCTCCTGATTCTATTAACACATTTGCCTACCTAGAGTTGATAGCCAAATTTTTTTTATTTTTAAATGTTATAATTGCATAAGGGTTAAGTTAACTTGCTTTCCATCCCGTTTGGGTTGCGGGGTTTCATTGTATGGTGTAAAGAACCATCACTTCTTTCCTATTCTATGGTGCTGCTATAAAGAAGTGTGTCCTTTATTTTACTTGGTCTCTCTCTGTCTCTCTTGTACTTACTTCAGCCCAGATCATTGTCTAGGGGTCAACAATGTAGGATAGATGAGGCAGACTATCTTCCGCCAACGATCACACTACTTGAAATGATAGTTGATGATGAGTTCCAGATTGATTCCATTTCTAGTAAACAACAAGAATCTGTATGACAATCTAACTTACGTTATTCTGACAAGGATCAATTGCTCTCATATGTGGATACACAGTCATGCCACAGTTGATGCTGACCTATATGCAGTCAGTACCAGCCACAGTTAATCGAACAATGCCGTTGTCCTCAGATATTATTCAATGTAGATTTACCTCAGGTACTTTGTAGTCATACAGAAATCAAGTTCTACTTCATTTCAGCTTGAACACACTTTCATTTCGAACACTCTAGTTCCTTCATAATTCTCTGGGGTCCAGTCGCCGAATGACCACTTTGTCAGCAATCTCCTGTTTCCACTTGAATTCACCAACCTTTTGTTTTCCCCTTGAAATCCGTGACTCTCACTTTAGTTACTTCCCCAGTTCTGTCAATCAGTTATACTCTGACGTTATCCCTATTTTTAACCTCATTACATATGGAAAACAAGAATAGACCCACTGCCTCCCCAGCAAGCATGTCGTAAGGGTCAACTAATTGGGGGCTTCCTTCAAAGTTGGAGTGCATCTGCCTGAGAGGCAAGGAACCAACAATCTGCATAGTTAAGTCAGATCTTCTAAACGGATGTGCACGCAACACTCAGTTTCTGGAACAATACTTAAGTCCAGAGGTGGACAAACAACCAGAACTTGGTAACTATATAACTAGAATGTCTTTGCACTGTAACCCACAGGGGCGTAGAAATAAAGGAAGACCAAAAAACACATGGAGAAGGGAGCTAGAGAACGAAGTTAAAAAAATGGGGATGACATGGGGAAAGCTGCATGCAGTAGCAAAATGACTTGGAGCGAGTTGGTAGAGAGCCTATGCTCCATTGGGGTTAGAAACATCTGTGGCTTAGGCATTGCGAACACACTCGGTAATTCCAAAAATATCCAGTTTCATTCAACCTACAGATTATTTGGCTGCAGACAGCTTTGTATTTATTTTGACACTGGTATGAAGCACCAACTGTTTCAAAACCAGGTGCAAACTACAGAACATAAAATTCCCTAGAAAAATTGCCCTTAACTAGCTTCTGATCTAGTCTACAAAGGGCTAGATGTGAGTTGGTTGAGAGTCCATTCTCCATGAGAGATTGAGAGACAGAAGAAGAAGAGAAGAACCTAGTTACACGATAAAGTTACTGATATCTCTGATATTTTTATTTCTTTGTTGCAGGAAGAGGAGGCACATGAGTTCAGGGATGCAGAGAGGCTTGGCTTTGTTGAAGTTGCTGGTTAGTTAATGTACTGTTGACCATCAGAGAGAGGGGGAGAGAGGGAGAGAGGCTTGGCTTTGTTGAAGTTGCTGGTTAGTTAATGTACTGTTGACCATCAGAGAGAGGGGGGAGAGAGGGAGAGAGGCTTGGCTTTGTTGAAGTTGCTGGTTAGTTAATGTACTGTTGACCATCAGAGAGAGGGGGGAGAGAGAGAGAGAGGCTTGGCTTTGTTGAAGTTGCTGGTTAGTTAATGTACTGTTGACCATCAGAGAGAGGGGGAGAGAGAGAGAGAGGCTTGGCTTTGTTGAAGTTGCTGGTTAGTTAATGTACTGTTGACCATCAGAGAGAGGGGGAGAGAGAGAGAGGCTTGGCTTTGTTGAAGTTGCTGGTTAGTTAATGTACTGTTGACCATCAGAGAGAGGGGGAGAGAGAGAGAGAGGTTTGGCTTTGTTGAAGTTGCTGGTTAGTTAATGTACTGTTGACCATCAGAGAGAGGGGGAGAGAGAGAGAGAGGCTTGGCTTTGTTGAAGTTGCTGGTTAGTTAATGTACTGTTGACCATCAGAGAGAGGGGGAGAGAGAGAGAGAGGCTTGGCTTTGTTGAAGTTGCTGGTTAGTTAATGTACTGTTGCATCAGAGAGAGGGGGTTAATGTACTGTTGACCATCAGAGAGAGGGGGGAGAGAGGGAGAGGCTTGGCTTTGTTGAAGTTGCTGGTTAGTTAATGTACTGTTGACCATCAGAGAGAGGGGGGAGAGAGGGAGAGAGGCTTGGCTTTGTTGAAGTTGCTGGTTAGTTAATGTACTGTTGACCATCAGAGAGAGGGGGAGAGAGAGAGAGAGGCTTGGCTTTGTTGAAGTTGCTGGTTAGTTAATGTACTGTTGACCATCAGAGAGAGGGGGGAGAGAGAGAGAGAGGCTTGGCTTTGTTGAAGTTGCTGGTTAGTTAATGTACTGTTGACCATCAGAGAGAGGGGGGTGATTGGCTTTGTTGAAGTTGCTGGTTAGTTTAATGTACTGTTGACCATCAGAGAGAGAGGGAGAGAGAGGGAGAGGAAGTGGCTGGTTAGCTAATGTGATTTGACCACAGAGAGGAGGGAGAGAAGTTGCTTTGGTTGGTTTAATGTACTGTTGACCATCAGAGAGAGAGAGAGAGAGAGAGGGGGGGGGGGGACGAGAGGCTTGGCTTTGTTGAAGTTGCTGGTTAGTTAATGTACTGTTGACCATCAGAGAGAGGGGGGAGAGAGGGAGAGGCTTGGCTTTGTTGAAGTTGCTGGTTAGTTAATGTACTGTTGACCATTAGATAGAGAAATGACAACAGTAGCAGTTTAATTATGAGTCCATCTTTTGCCTTACCTCTAATTATAGAGTGTCAGGCAAATCCCATGGTCATCCCACCAAACCATTCTCTCCACACCTTGAAGGACTACTCACACTTCTGCATTGTTCACTTGCTTCTAGAGTGCTTTGACCATCTCTAACTTGTCATGCATCAAATCACCACCTGATGGTGCAGCACTAGGCAGCCTGTCTTCCTATTTATTTCCTAACACACTTGCATGTCCCGGAGCATATTGCCACAGGATGCTAACTATTGGGGGATCTCTGAAGCGAGGATTACTACTCTAAACCGAGCAAGCCTTTCTTTATCTTTCTGAGCATACTTTGTAAGTCGCAGATTTAATTTTTGAGTCAAATTTCATGCGAGAACATCACTACCACTCTTTTTAAACATGTCACGATTCAAGCACTAAATGATAGACAACTTGTCAAAGTATTTTTATGTGATCTTCATTCATTTCTTATTGATTTGTTAGATTGTAACACTATTTTCACAATGTTTAAAAATATATATTTACACGCTTGTGTTCACTTTCTGTGTAAAAATATTAGCAAGAAGTTTAAAAAAAATATTTATGTGTTCATAAGGATTACCAGTCTTATCATCCCCATGTGGGATGCAATTTTTAGTCATTTTGAAACCCCACCCTGGCTTTTGCTGGGTGCCCTAAATATAGCCAGGCCTTATGTGTGGCAAAACAGGGTTTCCGAACCTCTCCACAGGTGATCCTCATCCGCGTGGTGGCACTTTGTTTTACCGGATGTTTATCGCTCTGTGTTATGTCCTGGTGGGGTAAAATTTACTTACTTACTACTTACATGTGTTGATGACTGCTCTCTATGACTAACATACTTGTATCTAAATTTTTTTTAGGTGATGATTTGTATGGACGTAAATTGATTGTTATCTACGCCTGTAAGCTGCCCTCTAACAAAGTCTTTGATCAGCAACGACTGTTACAGTAAGCTTTCTTGTCTTATTCTTCTTCTTCTTCTTTACGTTCACCAGCTGTACACTCTGGTGGAAAGTTCTTATTGTTCGTCCACTATTAGACTGCAGTCCTGCTCCAGAACCTGAGTGTTGTGTGTGCATCAGTTTTACAGATCTGATTCACTTGAATGCAGACTGTTGTTTCCTTGTCTCTCAAGCAGATGCACTCTGACTTCAAAGGAAACTCCCAATTAGTCGACTCTTACAACATGCCTTTGGGTAGGCAGTGGGTCTGTTCTTTTTTCCCCCATAATGAAGCCCTGGAACCAACACAGGGAAGTCTTCTTGTGATAATGATTATAAAAGTTACTCTTCTAGTCCTCTTCCTTCTTTTCCTCCTTCTGTTCTAGAAACTTCTACAGTAAGTCATGTGATGACAATAAATATGTATCTCTTCACCACCTCTTTCTTCTCCTGTTGCTGCTGCAATGACTGCTACAGTAAATAATCTCATGATAATGAACATCTGTCTCTTCCTTTTCTGGATTCTGATGCTGCTGCTGTTTCTTCTTCGTTCTCTTTTCCCTTTTCTTTTTTTTTCTCTTTTTATTGCAACTGTTCTGTTACTATCTACTTAAGAAGTCCATCTTTTTGTGCTGATAAGTGTTAAATTATACTGGTGTACAATCAGATTGTAATCACAGTAAGGGGTCACTCTACCTCATTATGCTGTGGCATACAATATAACGTGGACACTTACATCCTCCAATGAACGTAAAATTGTGACAACAGAGATTAAATGCTTTAGAGAATGTCTGTGATTTCTGCCGTAGGACCTCTTTTGCTATTGCTATCATCATCATGTAGCAGGTCCTTTGCAGAACGTCGCTCTCATCACAGTTTGCCTGAAAGAAACTCGGTCTCTCGCCAGTTCTCCCACCTCATGCACTTTCACACTCAAGGAGTCACTTATATCCTGTGCCCATCTTCGTGTGGGTCGGCCCCTGCCCCTCCTTCCTGGTACCATGCCTTCTGCTATAATTTTTTTCCAATCTGTCGTGGCTCTTGATATGACCAAAATATTTCAGCTGTCGAGAAAGGATGCTGTTTATTAGCCAATCTTCCTTGATGTTCAGATCTTTTAAGATGTCAATATTTCTCATCTTCTTTGTCCAAGATATTCTGAGAATCTCTCCATAGCATTTCAGCTCAAAAGCCCCTATTCTCTTTCTTAAGGACTGAGAGATAGTCCATGACTCACATCCGTAGGTAGCCACAGGGAAGATGCATGCTCTCAAAATTCTAATTTTTATCTCCTTGCTGGTGCTTAACCATAGGCTTTAAAGGCTGTTCAATCTTTGCATTGCTATGGCCATCCTCCTTTTAATTTCTGTCGAACAGTCTCCATTGTTGTTTATTACATAACCTAGATGTTCAAAGTTGCTATAGCTATTGCTATAGTAGTTGCTAATTACAGAGAAAAAGAATGGTAAAGGACACATTTTCCATGCCATTATGACGTATTTGGAATATGGTGATTACGTCCAAATGTTCTCAACCAAATGTTATGTGATTGATTATGGGGTCAGTAATATGATTACCTCCTTACCTAATAAACAAATTTCTAGTTGCCATTTTATGAATCAGTGCCAAGAAAGAGAAAAACAACCATGCTTTTCAGTATGAATTTCCATACAGGGACACTAAACTAGCACTTGTGTGCATTTAAGCTTTGTGCAGCCGCACAGGGAGGCAAATGTGTGTGTGTGTGTGCATGCATGCATTTGTGCGTGTGTGTGTGGGGATGGGTGGGTTGGTCGGTGGGGGATTCTAAGAGCGACAAAATATAACAGTTAAAAGAATATCAGAATCTTTATTACTTTTATCATGAAAGATGCCCCTTGTATTGCACATCATTGCTACATTAGGACCCCAGCTTGCACATGTGTTTTATCTGTTGTGTGTTTAGTGAAGTTTAAATAATTTCACTATAGTACTAAAGCAAATAATTCCACAACTTATAATTGGTAGTCTGTAAAGGAATCTAGATGCTGAAGTTTAGCTGAGGGAAGAGGGGGTGTAAAATACACAACTAAACAGGGACACCATATATCCTAATATAGCCTTGGCACTAGCTACTTTGGTAAGCTGTGAAATAAAAAGAGAAAATCATGTTTTGTGTTTTACTGAGTTTACTTGGTAAAATGTGAATGTTTAAGTATACATATTTGTTATAATAATTTCATAAGATTTATATTTTTGATTAAATTTCCTTTAGAAGACTTGAGTTCGTCTTCTTCTCCTCCTACTCCTCCTTCTTCTTCTTCTTTTTTCTCCTTTTGCTTTGTCTTCTTTGTCTTTTTTGTTTTTTTTCTTCTTATTGTTATTTTCCTTCTTCTTCGTTTTTCTCTTATTTTTGTCCTGTTTTTCTTCTTTTTTTAGTTCTTACTTGCATCCATTGCATTGAAGTTCAGATTTTTGAGCTCTGAAGAGGGCTTGCATCTGTTGCTTGCAGATATTAAGTTCTTTTCTTCAAGCACAGGAACTCACCATGTGGGTTCCGCGTCCCAACTGTGGGGAAAACAAGAATAGACCAGTGCTCCCCAACAAGCATGTCATAGGCAAGAGCAACCAGCTGCACACAAATAAGCCAGTACAGCAGATGTACATGAAAACTCAGACCCTTGCACAAAACTTAAGTCCAAATCGACGAACAATCAGGACTTTCTGCCGGAGCTTACAGCGGGTGAATAAAGAAGAAGAAAGAAGAAGAAAGAAGAAGAAGAAGCACAGGAACCAGTATGCAATGCAATACTGTGTTTCTTATTTGTGGAAAGGCATGTATTAAAGAATACAACAAGTATTAATGGAACTAGTTACAATGCAGGTACATAAAACATACACTGGACAAATTTGTGGAACAAGACTATGTTCTGGTGTACTTCCATCATGGCCTGAACAGCGGGAATAAGCCAAAACTATCCTGGTTAGTGCAGGCTTACAGAGAATTTGACAGGAAGTAAGTATGTGCACAGCATATTTGCATGATTATTTTAAACTATTTCTGTACCAAACAATTCATCATCGTCAGATCAGATTGTCATCCTTTGTGTGTGTGCTTTTATACATCACATAGGGCCCACACTCAATTCCTCTACTCTGCTTTATTGCATGGAGCTTTCTCAATTTCTGACATGGAGTTTGGCCCAGCATTTTTTGCTTCTTGTTATAATGTTCTTCCTAATGTTTTCCTTGTATGTTCCCTTCTTCTCAGGCCGTTTGTTTCCAATTTCAGTGCCTGTTTTGTAATTCTTTGCTCATTTTGTCTCAGAGAGGGTCCACCTTTTGTGTCCTATTGCAGTCGATACAAGTATTTGTCTAGACGTTTCTCCTATCTCCTCACTCTTTTTGAATTCCTCCCATTTTATGTTCATGATTTTTCTCAGACAGTTATTTTCAGATGCATATAACTTCCTTATGATGGTCCTCCAATAATGACTGAGAAGTTGAGGATGCAATACATTATATGAAGCAAGGAAAAGCACCCGGGCCAGACAACATCTCCCTGGGAGATTTCAGAATTAAAATAATAACTAAACTTTTAAATGATATTTATAATAGTGGGTAAATTCCGAATGACCTTTTAAAATCCATATTTATAGCTCTGCCTAAGAAACCATGTTCTATAAAATGTGAAGACCATTGCACAATAAGCCTTATGAGTCACATGACTAAGATTTTACTGAGAATAATTATGAGAAGAATAAGAAACAAAATTAAACCAGAAATCAGGGATGAACAGTGTGGATTTGTAGAAGGAAAAGGTACAAACAATACCATATTCATCCTAAGGACATTGACAGAAAGAGCTATAGAAGTAAAGACTGATTTGTACTTATGCTTCATAGACTATACAAAAGCATTTGACTGTGTGAAGCATGAAGAAGTAATCAAACTGTTAGAAAAATTAAACATTGATGGGAAAGATCTACGAATAATAAAGAATATGTATTGGCAGCAAATAGCAGCTATAAGAATTAACGACTGTTTAGGTACATTTCAGAGCATAAAGAGGGGCGAACGACAAGGATGTGTACTGTCATCTGATTTGTTTTAAATATACAGTGAATATATAATGAGATCTTTAATTGATTTGCCCGGAATTATGGTTGGTGGGCACAAAATAAACAATTTACGTTATGCTGATGATACAGTCCTAATAGCAACAAGTCAGAAAGAACTACAGGAAATGATAGACATTGTGGTGTAAGAAAGTGGAAGAATGGGCCTCAGTTTGAATAATGGGAAGACAAGTAATGGTGGTATCAAAGAAACGAATTATTCCTAAATGTGTAATAAAAGATGGTGTTATTTTAGGGCAAGTACAGAAATGTAAGTATCTGGGCACATGGATAACATCAGATGGAAGATACATAACTGAGATAAGAAACAGAATAGGACAGGCAGAAACTGCATCTTATAAAATGAAAGACATCTTGTGCAATATATCCTTGTCATTGAGAGTTAGAAAAGGAATTCTTACTTGCTACATACATCCAGTTTTAACATATGGCTGTGAATCCTGGTCAATCGGTAGGCAGGCCAAACAATTTCTAGAGGCCTCAGGGATGTGGTTTTACAGAAGAATGCTTAGAATACCTTGGGCAGCCAAAAAGAGCAACCAAGAGGTTTTGAAAGAGGCGGTAGCCTAAAGACAAACTTATCACAGACATCAGAAGGAGACAGTCATCATTTTTCGGCCATATTGTGAGAAGAGGGAAAATAGAACATGTTGTGACCACTGGAAAGATCTGTGGAGGGAGAGATAGAGGAAGACAACGAGAGAAGATGCTTGACAGTCTTGTTGCATGGCATGAAGGTGTGTCAGCACACGAATTGATACATGCTGCAGGAGATCGCAGATTATGGAGAGGCATGATCGCCCACGCCAGTGGGCAAGGCACATGATGATGATAACTTCTGTTCCATATCTTTGGTGGTTCTCCAACATTCGCTGGCATATGTTAGAATTGAAATAATGTTAGAACTAAAGATCTGCAGTTTGATCTTAAAGCTGTAAAGCTTGGAGCTCCATATTTTGTTATGGTTTTTATAGACTGTTGTTGCTCTGCCAATGCGTATCATAATTCCTTCATTGTATCTCCTTGAGAGTTAAAATTGCTACCCAAATATATGAAATGGTCCATTACTTTCATTGGTTTGTTCTCTAGCATGACATCTACATGATCTGTTGGTATCTTTTAAATATTTGTTTTCTCATAACTTATTTGTTGTCCTCTATTAATGATGTAGATGACAAAGCATCTGTTTTTCAAAATAAAAAAAAAACAATAGGGAAGGAAGGGATGATTCTTTGAAGAGGAGACAGGAGTTGACAAGCATGAAGGTGGACACAGGATGATGAAGTTGCTTTTCCCTCTGTGGGTTCTAGAGCTGCATATTGGAGGAAACAAAATAGATTGATTGCCCGTTTAACAACATGTCATAAAGTTGACTAATTGTAGGTGTTTCCTTTGAAGTCAGAGTACATCTGCATGAGAAGTGAGAAACCAACAGTCTGTTTACAAACAAACCAGATCTGTACAACAGATATACATGCAAAACTCAAGTTTGGGAACAAGACTAATATAAAGTCTAGAAATGGATGAACAGCCAGAACTTTCTGCCGGAGTTTACAGCCGGTCAACAATAAGAATACCGTGGACAAAGAAGAACAAAAACATTGACAACCTGCATAGCATGAACATTAAGGAGAACTGGCTTATAAACAGCATCTTCTCCCAAAAGCTGAGGTATTTAAGACACATCAAGTGCCACAATGGTCTGGAGAGAACGTGATGGAGGGTGCAGTTTCCAGAAAATGAGACAGAGGCCAACCTCCATTAATGTGGATACAAGACATTGAAGATGCATTAACTATGAAAGCACACAGGGCTAGAGAACGCTAAAGAAAGAGAGACTTTCAGGCGTGCCGCGAAGAGAACGTTTCTGTAAAGGACATGAAGACTAATTGATTGATTTAATGATAAGAAGAAGAAGATTCAAACCCAAGACCTTTAGGCCGGCCATCCTAATTGTAGGAATCTCAGTGTACAACAGTAAAGGTTAAAGTCGAGAGGATTGACTTTATTGCACTGGTTTTTATCCCATTTGGCTCGGTCTCTCTCCGCAGAATGGCTGGCCACCTGCCGAGAGTGCCGAACAGAGCACAAACTCTGCAGCTCCAGCAACCATCTCCAGGGATCTTTGTAAAAAATTGCATTGTGAACTGAATAGCGCAGCCGTGAAATGAACCCACAACCTTCAGAGCGCGAGGCAAGCGACTTTATAACTTTGCCACGGACTTCGCATTCTGCCAGTTTGTCTATGGTTTAATGTTTCTAAACTTAAAACAAAAACAAAAAACTCTTCAAGACAGTAAAGAGTAATGGGACTCTTTAACCATAGATGGCCTTATAACAGAGTTTGGGGATTTGTTTTAATTAGCCAACGCCTAATGGCATGGTAGGGGATCCTTTATAAATGAGCTACAAAGTAGAACTACTGTCTGTAACCAAGGCTCATCCAATACAAGCGTTTATTTATTACTTTATAATTTAATTTTCTGACATAACCTTACACTTCTCTTTAAATTGTTTTCTATGTCATTACAGATACAAGAAAAATCTAAAAATGCTTTATCTTGTTCATCCGACCAATTTCATCAAAGTTGTCTACAGAATACTGCGTCCTGTTATAAGGTAAGCAGTGTATGTAACGGTTGCTGTGGTAATATAGTGCCAGATTCAGGCCTGCTGGCCAAAGGGATGGCCAGTCTATGAGGGTGACATGTATCATTAATAGTGTTGATCTAGAGTACCAATGGCTGAGATCCATGAGAAAACAGGAATATTTATGTTGTCTGGCTTCCATGTGGGTTTTGGGTCCTAGTTTTGTTGGGATTTAAAAAAATAGACCCACTGCCTCCCTAAAAGGGATCTTCTAAAAGTTAACTAATTAGGGGTGTTTCCTTTGAAGTCAGTGCATCTGCCTGAGAGGCGAGGAACCAACAGTCTGCGTATAAATAAGAAAGATGTGTAAAATTAATCTGCTTAAATTCCGTAACAAGAACAAAGTCCAGAAGTGGACGAACTACCAGAACTTTCCTTCAGATTTTACAGCCGGTGAAGATTAAAAAGAAGAAGAGGATTATGTTGTCTGGCAAGGTATATGATGAGGATGATGATGATAAGCATAAGTATTTTGTTTTCAATTTTTATTTGCAAGATCTATCAATCAGGTGCCATCTCCACAAGGAAGGCTTGCAACAGTTGGTCTCCAACTTTATCTGGTCCTGGATATACACTCTTTCAGATTGCTTTTTCTGTTTCTCTCAATATCATCTTCCCATCTGTATAGCTGCTTGCCTCTTGCTCACCCTTTTTTTTTTAACTTTGCTATTCATATTATGTATATTATTATATGAACAAAACATGTTTTAATAATAAAACACAATTGTATTCTAAAAGATGATTATTTAGAAGGACAGAATTTATCCAGCCATGTTAACATTTTATCATTGTTTCACAAACTTGTCACTGATAGATATACACTAAACCGTCTCACTTTCAACAGTGAAATACGTCTCTAACAATGTACTTTAGCTCTCACGCAATGTAACCAGGACCAACTGAGACATTGAGTTCCCAGACTGCAACTGGGTTTAGTAGCTGGCTGAACAGTTAAGAACGCTGGACTCTTATTTGGGAGACCCAATTTCTGATTCTTGGTTAAGTTGTATTTTGTTTTGGTGGGGGAAGAAAACATAAAAAAATCCTCACCTGCACAATCCACTAGACACGCGGCCCTAAATCTTCAGACTTAAGACCTCTTTCCCATCCTGAGCTGCACTAAAACTTTAAAGTGGTACAGAAAGGCAGTAACAATAGTTATTTAAAACACAACAGAAGTTTACCTTTACCTCAGTACTTTCAAATTATATGCGTGTTCAAGGGCATTATAATGTTCATGTTAGTTTTACAATATTTACAGTGTTCATGCGGTTAATTTGAAAGCTCACATTTGATGACATTGTTTCTTACATTCTGGCAGTGCAAAATTTGGGAAGAAGATTGTGTATGTAAACTGCTTAGATGAATTGAGAGCACATGTACCTTTTGATCAACTTTCGGTGCCACAGCTGATCTACGAGTGAGTTATTTTCTATTTTGATACTGCTTTTTGTCATTTCTCATTTTACTAGGAACCTTCACGGCTGGGTGGTTAAGCCATTTGCCTCCTGCTACAAAAGTCATCCTGTCATTTCATCATTTCACAGACTGTATCAGTCAACTCGTTTCTTATGTTCATCAGCTGTAAACTTTAGAAAAAAGTTCTTTTGTTCTTGTTTGTCCATTTTTAGACTTTTGTCTTGTTCTAGAACTTGTGTTTTGCATGCACATCCATTAATAAAACTGGCTTATTTGCATACAGACTGTTGGTTTCTCTTATCTTAGGCAGAGGCACTCCAGTTTGCCGAAACCCCAATTAGTAACTTTTTACAACATACAAATTTTGCAGACGTACGTAGGAATTGTTGCTGGTGCTAAAGAGTTCATGATGTATGTGATACTTTTAACAAGCAGCCAGTCAATCTTTTGAGATACAGCCGTATGGGTTAAAGCTGAGTGCATTCAGGTCAAATCTCTTGATTTTAAACCTTTAAACATTTTACACATTAAATGTTTTTTGTGCTGCCTATGTTAAAAAAAAAATATGACTATATGAATCACATTTATGTTTTATTTGTAGCAAGTGAGTAGTAACCCAGTTTCCCTCTGCAAAACCTCTCATAAAAAAATAATGGAGTCATTTGCCTGCCTAAACACACATGGGGAACAAATAGAGATATAAGAATGTTAAAGTCAAGAGGAGCTTTCGCAGCACTTTAAGATATAATTAAGTCAAAAGAAATGATACCCTGTACTAAACTTAGAACTGATTTGACATCAGTTATATTCTGCAGTGAAAGGGGCAGAAGCCTGAGATTAACTACCGTATTTCCTTAAGTTAAAGACACATTTAGTTTGGGAGTCGCTGAGAAAGGTTGTGGGTTCGCTCCCTGGCGGAGCCAGACTTTTTTTCAAAAATGATCCTGGCTCCAACGTCGACCCAGCCTTGAGTGGGTACTGGGTGCAGTCCCGGTAAGTAGAGGTGGCAGGCGTGTTGCTGACCTCATCACCCATTTTGTGCCTATTGGTCTATAAAAACATAGGTCTAGCCCTATATGCCCTATATGCATAAAGGCATGGAAAAGGGTCCTTTACTTTATTTTTTTTTTAACTTTAGTTTGCAAAAATGTAGGGCATAAAAGCTTTTTATATAAAGGTAGTCGATTTTTACCAAATGATTTGTTAGAAAATATCCTGCACAGGGCCTCATCTGGGTATACCGGTTCAGAGGTGACAGTCTTCTGGGGACAGTTTTGACACCAGCAGGTAGTGTGAAGAAACCAGCTACGTAAAGGAGAGGTTTGTCTGTGGGTGGAATGATCCTGGGATTATGGAAGACTGAGATCGTTGTCCAGTCAAGAAGTGTAGCATCTCAATAGCCACATATGGAACTAAGGATGAGGCAATATTTGAAGACAGTGATTTATCATCAAACACAGATGAGGACAGTCTAAAGAACTATCATATGGATCAGAGTTTGATAGTGATGAGAAGTTTTATTTATTCTGTGATAGATAAAACAAGATTTCAATAACTTTATAAAATTATACCCCCTGCCCCCAATATCTAGTCCAAAAATCATGTTGCAACTTATACATGGGAATCATTTTATATTTGGAGAAATACAGTAGTAACATTTAGTAATAAACTGTGCGTTCGTTTATCTGATACCAATCTTTGGGTGGGGGGGGGGGGGAATTAGAACCACTGCTGTTTAACAAGCATGTCATAAAAGGTGACTAATGAAAGCTTTTCTGAAATTGGTTTCGTTAGGATGAAAAAATGCAGATTTTGCAGCCTAGCTTACACCACAGCACAATGTGCCAAAATGCCATTTTGAGGGCTAACAAAGATGGCGAAGTAAAATTATATGTGTGATCTGACGACCTTTTGCCATCCTTGCATGTTAGTCATTTTAACTTTCTATGGCATTGTTAGCAGTCGGTGTTAAAACCAGTAATTTAACAGAGTAACTGTTATTTTCTTCTCCCTTTTTCTCTTCCTTCCCTTTCTCATTCTTTTTTTCCTCCTTCTTCTCTGTGTCAGTTACCTCATCAAAGTGTTGGGAAGAAATGTAAGGATCTTCTGTGTTCTTTCTAATAAACTGTTTAAGCTGATTTTTATTTCTACAAGGCTGTTCTTGATGCTGTTCCCTGTTGTTCATGGTCTTATCATTGCTTTGTTAATTCAGTGGGGCTCCTTGTGGCAGCTGGAAACGAGGGCAGTTCTTCACCTGTTGTTTTAATTATATTAGTTGCAGTAAGGGTTATTTTATTCTGATCTACGTTGCAATGCATCTTTATTTTCCTCCACCCCCAGTTTTGATGCTAAGAAGGTGGACAAGAAAGGCATAGCTCATTCACATAATGGAACCACTCAGCGAGAGTCAAAGAAGACACAGCAGTTTGGTCTGTCTCTGCAAGAGTAAGTTTCTTAAAAAAATCGTCATCAAGTACTTTCCTGACTGGCATGGGTGACAGTACCAGTTTGTGTTTTTTTAGTGATTCTTTGAGCATGATCTGGCGGGTCGAGGCAGGCTGGTTACGCTGACAGTGGTTTGAATCATTGCAAAACTCTCCTGTGTGTGCAGTTACCTTCTTATTTGTCCCATGGCATGGAGGTGTTGTTGGTAATGAAAGAGCTGATAGACTGGCAGGTGCTGCATTAATTGAAGATGGCTGGTCCATGGATCACGCAGACATTGTCATTGCCCTTAGAGAGATAGGACATTCTGAGGATTTTGGAAGAGAGAGAGAGAGAGAGAGAGAGAGAGAGAGAGAGAGAGGAGAGAGAGAGAGAGAGAGAGAGAGAGAGAGAGAGAGAGAGAGAGAGAGAGAGAGAGAGAGAGAGAGAGAGAGAGAGAGAGAGAGAGAGAGAGAGAGAGAGAGAGAGAGAGAGAGAGAGAGAGAGAGAGAGAGAGAGAGAGAGAGAGAGAGAGAGAGAGAGAGAGAGAGAGAGAGAGAGAGAGAGAGAGAGAGAGAGAGAGAGAGAGAGAGAGAGAGAGAGAGAGAGAGAGAGAGAGAGAGAGACGAGAGAGAGAGAGAGAGAGAGAGAGAGAGAGAGAGAGAGAGAGAGAGAGAGAGAGAGAGAGAGAGAGAGAGAGAGAGAGAGAGAGAGAGAGAGAGAGAGAGAGAGAGAGAGAGAGAGAGAAGAGAGAGAGAGAGAGAGAGAGAGAGAGAGAGAGAGAGAGAGAGAGAGAGAGAGAGAGAGAGAGAGAGAGAGAGAGAGAGAGAGAGAGAGAGAGAGAGAGAGAGAGAGAGAGAGAGAGAGAGAGAGAGAGAGAGAGAGAGAGAGAGAGAGAGAGAGAGAGAGAGAGAGAGAGAGAGAGAGAGAGAGAGAGAGGAGAGAGAGAGAGAGAGAGAGAGAGAGAGAGAGAGGAGAGGAGAGAGAGAGAGAGAGAGAGAGAGAGAGAGAGAGAGAGAGAGAGAGAGAGAGAGAGAGAGAGAGAGAGAGAGAGAGAGAGAGAGAGAGAGAGAGAGAGAGTCCTAATGATGTTAAATATTTTTTTTTTCCAGGATCAAGCAGAAGACAGGACAAGTTATTCCCCTTCCTGTTGCTGAAACTATTGAATATCTTAAAGCTGCTGGAGGTTTGTTGTGCAACGGTTTTGTTTTAATCCTCAGAATACAAACAGCCCTTATCTACATTTACAAAGAATGTTGACAGTTTCAAAACATGACATATTAGTCATTTACTTGATTTTTATTACTAATATACCTTTCTTTTTTTCCCTTAATGCTCATTAGTCATGAATTTCAGTTCAACAGTACATGTTACTGTCCTAATACCAGTTTCCACATACTATTATTCTAAAACCAATCTCCGCATACTGTTATTCTAAAACCACTCTCCACATACTGTTATTCTAAAACCAATCTCCACATACTGTTATTGTAAAACCAGTCTCCGCATACTGTTATTCTAAAACCAATCTCTGCATACTGTTATTCTAAAACCAGTCTCCACATACTGTTATTCTAAAACCAATCTCCGCATACTGTTATTCTAAAACCAATCTCCACATACTGTTATTCTAAAACCAGTCTCCGCATACTGTTATTCTAAAACCAATCTCTGAATACTGTTATTCTAAAACCAGTCTCTGCATACTGTTATTCTAAAACCAATCTCTGCATACTGTTACTCTAAAACCAGTCTCCGCTTACTGTTATTCTAAAACCAGTCTCCACATACTGTTACTCTAAAACCAGTCTCTGCTTACTATGATTCTAAAACAAATCTCCACATACTGTTATTCTAAAAATTAACAGAGGGGGGAACCATTTGAGGCCGTTAAATATTATGAATTAATCAAATAACAGAAAGTATTGTAAACGGCACTCACAGAAAGAAGTGCCGTTTACAATATTTTCTGTTACTTGTTATTCTAAAACCAATCTCCACATACTGTTACTCTAAAACCAGTCTCCGCTTACTGTAATTCTAAAACCAGTCTCCACATACTGTTACTCTAAAACCAATCTACACATACTGTTACTCTAAAACCAATCTCGGCATACTGTTACTCTAAAACCAATCTCTGCATACTGTTACTCTAAAACCAATCTCTGCATACTGTTATTCTAAAACCAATCTCGGCATACTGTTACTCTAAAACCAATCTCTGCATACTGTTATTCTAAAACCAATCTCTGCATACTGTTATTCTAAAACCAATCTCTGCATACTGTTATTCTAAAACCAGTCTCTGCTTACTATTATTCTAAAACCAATCTCTGCATACTGTTATTCTAAAACCAGTCTCTGCTTACTATTATTCTAAAACCAATCTACACATACTGTTATTCTAAAACCAATTTCGGCATACTGTTATTCTAAAACCAATCTCGGCATACTGTTATTCTAAAACCAGTCTCTGCTTACTATTATTCTAAAACCAATCTCTGCATACTGTTATTCTAAAACCAGTCTCTGCTTACTATTATTCTAAAACCAATCTACACATACTGTTATTCTAAAACCAATTTCGGCATACTGTTATTCTAAAACCAATCTCGGCATACTGTTACTCTAAAACCAATCTCTGCATACTGTTATTCTAAAACCAGTCTCTGCTTACTATTATTCTAAAACCAATCTACACATACTGTTATTCTAAAACCAATTTCGGCATACTGTTATTCTAAAACCAATCTCGGCATACTGTTACTCTAAAACCAATCTCTGCATACTGTTATTCTAAAACCAATCTCTGCATACTGTTATTCTAAAACCAATCTCTGCATACTGTTATTCTAAAACCAGTCTCTGCTTACTATTATTCTAAAACCAATCTACACATACTGTTATTCTAAAACCAATCTCGGCATACTGTTGTTCTAAAACCAATCTCCAATTTACCGGTGAAAATAATCAGAAATGGAGATGTGATCCTAGTAAACACAAAGTGTACATTATGGTGAAAGTTATCTAAAGATATTAAGTCAGTCAAGGACACTTTTCCCCACCTTCAGGCATACTGGGCTAATAGAGCTAGATCTATATTTTATAGACTGGGTGGGGGATGTGGTTAGCATCACACTGGCCGCCTTTACTTCCCACGACTGTACTTTGTACCCACTCAAGACTGGGTCGACCTCAGGGCCGAGCTCATTTTAAAAAAAAGTCCGGTTCCGCCGGGCCCCGAACCCCGAACCCAGGACCCTCCAATCCTCAATGGCTCTCGTTCAAAGATATTAGCATTCATTTAATACATTGAACCAAATTTTGAATTAGTATTTCTTTATGTTCTGGACTGTTATTGTCAGTTTTCTGTATATTGAAAGAGCTGTTTTTACTTATAAGGTGACGAGGTAGAAGGCTTATTCAGAAGATGTGCCAAATTGTCCACAATAAAGGAAGTTCAACAGAAGTATGATAATGGTATGGTGCCTAATGCAAACCTGTACTTTTATTGTGTTATACAGTTAATTATCTTGAACGCATTTGTGTATATCTCTCTTATGAGTGATGCATTGGAAATATGATTGTTATTATTGTTGTATTAATTAGTTTTTATTGTTTACACTGTGAATTTTAATTTCACACCACTCTTACTAATAAAAATATATATATGTAATTAAATTTGCTCTTTCACAAAACTAATCAGTATAGACTTAATCAGCAATTCTGAGAAACTCATGTCAGCTATATTTTCATAGCATATTTCATAGCATCTCATTACCATATTTGAAAGCCTGTTTTAAGTGTGTATTGAACATCTTCATTGTTGTCAAGGATGCCATGTTGAACGCTAGGCAAAAAAGTTGGCAAGGGACTGAGCATGATTGATATCACATGGCAAAAACAACATTCTGCAAAGGACCTGCTACAATATGATGATCATTGTACACCTCTACCTCTGCTTGGTCACATTTGCCTGTGCAGCTACAGTGTTATATTTCATTACATTTGATAAGGTTTTGGCAAGTTTTATTTCAGCATCATTGAAGATATTTTTGTTTTGTTGTTTATGAATTACAAGTAAAGTACCTGTTTAATGTGGAGAAAAAATAATACCAGAATGTACCAGCAAATTTTTTTTAGGGATGTTGTTAGACGTAGGTGAAAAAGATGGATTGGATGAATGTAGAAAGATATGTAATGCAGTAACATAGAAAGTCACGGATACCAGCTACGGACACTCAAAATCAGCTTGATCTGCTGTCCATTGTGCGAAAAAGAGTTACAGCTTTATTCTTTTTAAACAGTAATCCTACTGATAGCAGGCATCTTATTTGGCTGAAACTAGACAAATTATTTTGGTAAAGTAAAATAAAATGAAAAACATCTTGTGCAATATATCCTTGTCATTGAGAGTTAGAAAAAGAATTCTTGCTTGCTACATACATCCAGTTTTAACATATGGCTGGGAATCCTGGACAGTCAGTAGGCAGGCCAAAAATTTATGGAGGCCTCGGAGATGTGGTTTTACAGAAGAATGCTTAGAATACCTTGGACCGTCAAAAAGAGCAACCAAGAGGTTTTAAAAGAGGCGGGAGCCCGAAGACAACTTATCACAGACATCAGAAGGAGACAGTCATGATTTTTCGCCCATGTTATGAGAAGAGGGAAATTAGAACATGTTGTGACCACTGGAAAGAAATATGGAAGGAGAGATAGAGGAAGACAACGAGAGAAGATGCTTGACAGTCTTGTTGCATGGCATGGAGGTGTGTCGGCACACGAACTGATACATGCTGCAGGAGATCGCTGATTATGGAGAGGCATGATCGCCCACGCCAGTCGGCAAGGCACCTGATGATGATGATGAAAGTAAAATAAGTGTGCTGACATTTAAAAACTAAAACAAGTTCTCCCATTTATTAATGATTTCAGTAACAGACAATTAATCATATTTTTTCTTGGTAACTGTATAAATGCTGTACATTCAAAACATCTTCTGTTCAGTCTTTCTCTTCCATTTCATCACAATTGTTCATTAACTCAGAGGATTCCAGTATTATATTATTTTTGCTAATTAAAAATCAAAGATGACTACTCTAGATTACAAATAAATTTAATATAGAAAGGATTGAAGTGAGAACTATATAACACTATGTTGGTTGATTGGTTTCAGTGTAAACATTACACTCTGCAGATCTGCTATAGGGATTTGAAATGAACCCACTGAACTGTGACTTCAAAGCTTTATGAATGGGGGAAAGGAAACAGTGTATTATTATTAATATTTTTTTGGCTTAATTTTTTACTTAATTCGTTTCACATCGTTTTTTTCTTTTCCTATATTTTTGACCAGCGTACATTGCCCCTTGAGGATGTTGTTGTGGTTTGTGTCAAGAAAGGCTATGGCCAAAATATCCTATTTTCTTGTGTTTAATAATCTGTTCCGCTACCCTCCCCATTTTTTTTGGTTAAGCATCTTAGTCAGAGTTCAGTGGATTAATTTCTTGGTATTAGCTTGACTGCAGTCATCCTGTTTTCATCACTTTTAGGGATGTGAAGCTTAAGCCTTTGTGCATTGTATGTCATGACATATGAGGTGGAGCAGCCAGTTTTCTTCATCATCATCATCTTTCCTTCTCAAACTTCTTCATGTTCACCAGCTGTAAACTCGGGCAGAAAGTTCTGGTTGTTCCAGAATTTCAGTTTTGCATGCACATCGATTTTACAGATGTGGCTTATTTGTACGCAGACTTTTTTTTTTTTTCAGTTTTCAGGCAGATGCACTCTGACTTTTAAGGAAACACCTCTAATTAGTCACTTTTATTACATGCTTGTTAAGGGGGCAGTGGGTCTACCCCCCCCCCCCACCCCCGCCCGTACCATGGGGCCAGGAACCCACACGAGGACCTTCCAGAAATTACTTTTAAAATTTCAAAACTTTTTGGTACCCATTTTAGGATGGCTGAGTTGAACCTCCCCCACCCCTCTTTTCTCTTCCTTCCTCTCTCAACCCCCCCCCCCCCCCCCCCCCCCCCCGCCCCACCTTCATCCCAACCATAACAGTTGAGCAAACAAAAGTCATCCTGCCCCTTCTGGGGATGAACCCAACAGTTGACAAGCAAACCACCATCAAGCCTCAAAATGAGCATGTGATGAATAAATTAATTTATCATTATGAAAAATTTTAATTACGAAACCTAACCCAGAAAATCATGTTTATAGTGTGAGTGATCCAGGTATACACTCATTTGGATCCTTGATAGGGCTACGGAGCAAAATGTGGCATATCAATGAAAAGAAATGTGCTTAACCAGGTCAATAAATTCAAGTGTTTAGAGACACTCATAACATCAGACAGACGATGTGTGACAGAAATTAAGAGCAGAATTTGTCAGGCAAAGGCAGCATTTCAGAAGATAAAAAGTATCAGAAAATGAATACTGAAATGTTTTATCGAGCCTGTTCTGTTGTTTGGCAATGCATCTTGTAATGTGAGCAAACAATTTAAGAAGAGCTTGGAGACACCTGAGATGTGGTTTTTGAGAAGAATGTTGCGAATACTTTGGACTGCCAGAATAACCAACACTGAAGCCTGGAAATGGCTAATGAAAGTAGAACATTATGTACAGCAATTAGAAGGAGACAAGCGAAGTTCTCTGGTCATGTGATGAGAAAAGGAGCACTGGAAAATTTTGTGACGACTGGAAAGATCACTAGTAGAAGAGGCAAAGGTGCACCAAGAGAAATGACTGTGGATAACTTATAACAGTGGCATGGAGAAATACCATCGGTGGAAATAATCCACAACACCAAAGACTGAGATCTGTGGAGGTGAATGAAAACCTATGCCAGCTGGCAAGGCACTTGATGATGATGAATGCTGCAAAGGAAAGAAACTTCGACTCTACAAGAGCATAATTTTGCCAATCTTCTCTATGGAGCAGAAAGCTGGAGAATGCCCCAAAAGGATGCACACAAGCTGTTCACCTTCCACTACACATGTCTACGTAGAATTATCAGAATTTTCTGGCCAGATACAAATCAAACACTAAACTACTTCAAGTCACAAATCAAGAAACTTTAGACAGTATGATTACCAAGAGAAGATAGAAATGGCTTGGCCACGTTATGAGAATGAATCCTGATATACCTGCCAAAACAGCTCTCACATGGATACCAGAGGGAAAGAGAAAAAAGGGGCGCCCAAAAACAACAGGGAGATGAATGATGGAGAGTGACCTGAGTGCGGCGTGGCATCTTTGACATGGAAAACTGCGCTGAAGAGTGCACAGGACAGGAAAGCATGGAAAGTCCTCACTGAAGCCTCATGTGCCACTAGGCATAATGAGAACTGATGATGATGATGAATCCTACCCACGGAAAACGCCGGTGTGTTGGGAAATGAACAGGCAGATAGACTGGCTGCCTCTGCACATCTTGGTGGAATAATGATACATGATAAGGCAGACGTGGTTAGTGCCTTGTGGGAGAGCGTGTACAGTTTGGAGAAGCAGATGGATCACCACAGTCTGGTGAGATTGATGCAGGGGGGAATGATGAGAGGTTTTGGCAAATGCTCGAGGCTGAGAGTAAAGGCAAAACAGATGTTTAATCAGAATTCTACTGGCACCGTTAGTATCGGAACTCTTCGCTGGCTGCTGAAGATGGGGACAGAGCGCTTATGGGAATACCCTGAGTGCTATGATGTCGGATTTTGAATCAAATCAAATCAATCAAACCCACTTCAAATCAGATATCATTATATGTTATGAAAAACATTTTGTTTGTACACTTTGTTCCTTACAAAGGCGGTGCTAAAATATTTGTGTTTTTCTGTTTTAGGTGGAAAAGTGGACTTTTCTGAATATAGTGATCCTCATTTAGCAGCAGCCATCTTGAAGAACTTCTTGCGGGAGATAACAGAACCATTGATGACCTATGACCTCTTTGAATCAATCACTCAACTAACTTGTAAGACAGTTTTTAAACCTTTCATAATAATGTATACTATTTTCAGGGGTCTCCATGATGAAGTGGTCAAACTGTTTGCCTCGCACTCTAAGATAGTGGGTTCGTTTCATGGTGGCGTCATTCAGTTCATGAGTGCAATTGTTAGGAGAATCCCTGGGGGATTGTCGCCGGAGCTACAGAGTGTGAAAAACAGTCACACTGTGTAATAAAGAAATAAACATTAGATTCGGGAATGTTCAACATTGATCTCTGCAGCACTGAAAACACTGACAATTTGAATGAGGCGATATTCTAACAAGAGACAGCTGGTTTTATCCTTGGAGCAAGATTTTGTGACAGTAACAGAGAAGTCAATTTTGCCTTAGGGGTCAAATAGATTAAAATGAATGGAGACTAGGTTGATGGTCACATTGTGAATACCCCCAAGATTTTGGGGGAAATTATCTGCTAACTTCAAACTAGTTTACCAGTATGTTTACTCAATCCAAAATAATGGGTTTTCTGACCAATTCCTGGTGTTTCTTCTTCTGCTTAATCTTCTTCTTAGTGTTTAAGGCTGTAAACTTCAGTGGAAAGTCCTGGTTGCTTGTCCATTTCTGGACTTCACTCTTGTTTCAGAACTTATATTTGGCACGCACATCCGTTTTACAGATCTGACCTTTTAAAAAATCTGCAGACTGTTGGTTCCTTGCCTCTCAGGCAGATGCACTCTGACTTTGGAGGAAACTTCTCTGATTAATCGCCTTGTACAACATGCTTGTTAGGTGGGGTGCTTTTCTATTCTTTGTTCTCCCCAAAATGAGACCACAAAATCCACACGGGGAATTAGTATTGTTTTACTCGTAACAGTTTTAAGGTCAACACCTTGTGGCCTACTCTTAGCGATTTCAAACCTCTTTGGGATTTAGCTTGCAACTTGCTAATGGTTGCAACTAACTAATGATTACAAATTGCTAATGATTGCAACTTGCTAATGATTGCAACTTGCTAATGATTGCAACTTGCTAATGATTGCAACTTGCTAATGATTGCAACGTGCTAATGGTTGCAGCTTGCTAATGATTGCAACTTGCTAATGATTGCAACTTGATAATGATTGCAACTAATTAATGATTGCAACTTGCTAATGATTGCAATTTGCTAATGATTGCATCTTGCTAATGGTTGCAACTTGCTAATGGTTGCAACTTGCTAATGATTGCAACTTGCTAACTAATGAGACCTGTTTTTGTGTGTGTGCCTTAACTGTTTCAGTCCTGAATAGTTCTTAATTTGACACTCTAACTAAATTAAGTGTGCCTTAGAGCCACAAATTGTTTTAGTCTAATCTTTTCGAAATGTTCAGCCTGGGAGCAGATGAAATAATAATAATAATTGAGTTGGAATGGGTTAACATAACATGAATGGCACATAAAGAGTCAAGAAATATGTAACATACAAACATAAACCAAAGAACGCACTATGTCTTCCCTGGTATTGAAGAAGTGAACTCTTCTAGCCCAGATACTATATTAACTTATTCTAGACCTATACTTTCATTTTCTTCCTACAGAGGCATGTATATCAAGCATGGAGGTGAGCTCTAGCTGTTAGGCTACTGCTGCTACCCATTTTATCAGTAGCAGTGGTTACTAAAGCATGGATTCCCTGTCTGGGTTTTGGGGCCCCACTGTGGAGAACAAGCATATCATAAGACATGTTAATGTTGTATAGTTCAATTCATGATGAGAAAGGCCCCTGCCGAAACATTAATTTGTGTTGTTTTGTATTTTTTTTTAGTCACTCATGGATTAATTGTAGAGGAAGTCAGGCATTGTGTGCTGACTGAGGGTCTGGATGTAGAGGTACTCAACCACATGTGGTGGTGCCTCAGGACCAGCGCTTAAAATGGTAAAGACCTATCTGCCTCTTGGGGTCATCCTAGAAATGGGTCCCTAGCAGGATAGGGAATGGGAGAGGGAAAAGAAGGGCTGGCCAGAGTAGATAGGGATGATGTTTGTTTTGAAGGACATTCTGTCTTGCATATGCTTGGATTGCTTATAAGCTGCATTTGTGAACTGAACAACACCAGTCCAGGAAATAAACCATCAACCTTCAGAGTAGGAGGCAAATGACTGAACTACTTGGCAGACATTCAATTGTCCAATCTCTAAACGTCTGGAATGTATAAGAAGCAAAGTACTCATTTTGCTTTGGTAATTGAAATTTTGGGTCTGCAGGTTGCCTTCTGCTGGTTTCTAAAGGCACAGCCTTTGATGAATGAGAAGCTCAGTGTACTGAAGTGAGGTAACAGTCATGAGCAGGGTGTGATGACTCTTTAGGTGAGCTGAGTACCGAAGCAATATTTATGGCGGGCAGTGCTCATGTTTTGCCACTGCCTTCTCTTGAGGGCTGACCAGCATTACATGTTTTTCTCAACAGTCCTGATGGGGACACCACCTGTGAACTAAGAAACATAGATAACCACACAGTAATGAGACTGCCGTGTCCCATGAAACTAACTGGGAAGGCTAACACAAGCAACAAATGCCTGCAGAAGTGTGATGTGTCGGCCAGAAGCAGCAAATATCGCAGTCATGTTGTAAGTGGGCACAATCTATTTACATCTTCATGTGAAATCAGAAGAAGAAGAACAGAAGAAGAAGAACATTAGAAGAAGATAAATAGAAGAAGAAGATAAAGAAGAAGAAGAAGAAGATAAAGAAGAAGAAGATGAAGAAGAAGATGAAGAAGAAGATGAAGAAGAAGAAAAGAAGAAGAAGAAAAAAAAAGAAGAAGAAGAAAAAGAAGAAGAAGAAGACCTGTTTGGTAATTGTGTCTTCTTTATTTATATTTATTGCTAATTTACTTTGTTGTTAACTTGGTTAAAACCAGGCCCCTGTCTGGATGTTTCAGGTTGTCAGCAAATCTGACATAAACCAGATGACAGCAGAAAATATAGCCATTGTGTTTGGCCCAAACATTGCGTGGCCCAAAGGACACGTGAACCTGATCACCGTGGAACACTCCGTCAGGCTCACTCTCATCCTGGTGAAACATTTTGATGAGGTTTTTGTCAGATGATCGTCTCTTGTGATCTGTTTTACAGTTCATAAATAGGTTGCTGACTTTGCTGTAGGGTTATATTGGTAGTGTACTTAGGAAAGTAGATTGCATTTATGGAAATATTTTGATCAGACAATCCTTTTGAGAATGTCTTTTGAAAAAATGTTTTTGTATAAAAGGAGATTTTTTTTAAGAACAGACAATCCTCTCCTGATACTGCTTTTAGGATTATATTGATGGTGTCTTGAGAGGTAGATTGTATTTAAGGAACTATTTTGATCATAGAATCCATTCTAGATCCTGCTTATGGGATAATGTTGGTTGTGTCATTTGTAAAGTAGATGATTGTATTTAAGGAACTATTTTGATCATAGAATCCATTCTAGATCCTGCTTATGGGATAATGTTGGTTGTGTCATTTGTAAAGTAGAAGATTGTATTTAAGGAAGTATTTTCAACAGAGAATTCATTACTAATCCTGCTTATAGGATAATGTTGGTTGTGTCATTTGAAAAGTAGAAGATTGTATTTAAAGAATTATTTTCAGCAGAAAATTCATTACTAATCCTGCTTACAGAATAATGTTGGTTGTGTCTTTTAAAAAGTATGTTGTATTTAATTGTTTCAATTCACTTACTAACAGCTGCTGATGGACCATATAATGTTTAATGAAACAGTATGTAAGCTTTTATGAATTTTGAATTAACTGTAGATCAGGCAAAAAATTTGCTGCAGGAGTCAGAACAATTCTGGGTATGTCCAGTGTGCTATGATGTCTGATTCTTAAATTAGTAATCATGAACTCTTTTCATGCGTGATAGTTTTCACAACATTTAGAGGAAAGTTGTGCATGCTGAGACCAGAGCAGTTCACATTCTGCTCAAACTAAGTGAGCAGATACATCATGCTGAAAATAAATTGTGAAAAAAAAAAAGAAAAAAAAAATTAAAAATAAAATCATGACCCAAGAATGTAGTCTCTTTCTGATGTGGGGAATACATTATCTTCATGAATCAGTTTCTTTATTACTCTTTTTATCTGTCCAGGGTATTCACATCATTCATTTATAAAACCACATTTCCTCAGCTTCAAAATAAGTTTTTACTAATTTACTAACTGTCCATGATTTACTTCCATATATTGAGATAGGATTTATATAGCTCCTAAGAATTTTCTTTCTCGTCTCAATTGGCAAAGAAAGATTGCATAAAATATTCTTTCTTTTGTAAAATCCTGCATTTGCTTGAGCTATTCGACATTCAACTTCTGTTAATACATCTTCCATTCTGATGTTACCAGGGTACCTAAGTACTTAAACATATCAACTTGCTTGAGGTTTGCCCTATTTACTTTCATATTGCATTGAGAATTGAAATATAGAATTAAATTGACACATACAGTAATTAGCTTTGTGAAATGCTGATAAAATAAGTCAAATTACAAGAGGAGTGTGACATGCAATTTGTTTCTCAGCTCTGTTAATTTAAGTACCACAGCCAAAATATTAATTCAAAGTTATACAGTGTTTGCCTTTAATAATTCATCCATGTTAAAGACATCTGGCAGAGTTCGCTAGAATCTGTTCACACTTAATGATTTATTGTTGATCTTTTAGTATAAGGTCATATATGTAGGAACTCAGAAATTACGTAACCTGATGTGGTTGACTTGACATTTGTTACTGTTTATCTGTCATAGACAGCATGGGGAATTTGCAATTATTTTGTATCATTTGATTTAAAATAAACATTTGCTATTTGAAAATATACTTATTTCGTCAATTTGAACATTACTTTCCAAGACATTTCCCAGTACCCATTTAAGGCTGGGATGACCTGGAAGCCACGGTCAATATCTTTTCCAAGTCTACACAGTGCAAATTCAAACCCAAGACCTTCTGGTTGCGAGGCGAGAATCTAAACATTATGCTACTAATACTCCCTGAACAGACAATGCTTTTTAAAATTGTTTATCCTGTAGAATATATTAATTTTATGGAGGTACTGAAGACAAATGTATAAAGTAGGGCTGTACCGAATAGATATTTTCACTATTCGGCCGAAAACGAATAGCTGGACCAACTATTTGGCCAAATACGAATACGAATAATGAATTATCATCATCAGGTGCTTTGCCACTAACAGCTTAATTAATCCATGAAAACGACATTAGCTTTCCAAAAAAAAAATTTTTCACCAGTCCAGAAACGGGTTTAAGGTAACCACTATTCGTATTCGGCCCGACCGCAACTATTCGGCCAAATACTGAATAGTTATTAGGTCTACTATTCGGCCCTGAAGCGAATACAAAGCGAATATTCGGTACAGCCCTAGTATAAAGCGAAGACACACTTGTTAAATGATTTACAATAAATGTTTAAATAAAGCTCTTGAAGTCTGTTTTTGTAATTCTGTTATGAAACAAGCTCATGTTACATCAACATAGAAACCAGCTTCTTTAAAGCTTGTGGCCCTGACGCATGAGTCAGTTGTTCAAGAAAAGTTGCCATGTTTAATTTTATTGAAGGTTGGTAATATACAAAAGATTGTTTATGCTGTTAACTAGTCTTTAAAAGGGGCATTGTTATTTTGACTATCTGCTTTACATCTTTTTCAAAAAATCTAGCGAAAGATTTTTTAGCTTTGAATTCAGAAAATACTATGCTTGACTGTTTTTCACTAGTTTTTTGAACGTTTAAGGTAATTAAAAAAAGCTTTGTCATTTTGTTTGTTTTTATATATATATATATATATATATATATATATATATATATATATATATATATATATATATATATATATATATATATCTTTGAAAACAATTGAACATGCTATGTTAAACAAAATACCACGAAAGCCTCAGAGATATGTATTTCCAGAATAATCCTAAAAATTACTTGCACAGCCACACACATACACACCAAATATTTCAGATTGTGGGTAGGAAATCACTTAATGGTCAAGTCTGATATAAAATAAATTGCTTGTGAAATCTTATTTTAATGAAAATTGTAGCATTTTCAAGAACCTAGAATGTTAATGCCAAATATTTGAACTGTCAATCAAAATATTGAATGGAGGATAGAAATGACATGACAGTCACTTAGGGAAAGATGACCAAGCAAAAACTACATGTCAGAAGATGGAATGAATGTTATAATCATCTTTAATGAATATCAGAAAGAGAGTAATGAAATGTTAGGTAAAACCTTTTCTGATGTATAAGTATGTCGCAGTTCATAAGGACAAAAATAGGGGCTTTTGAGCTAAAATGCAATAGACAAATAGTAAGAATAGAATGAATAAAGAAAAAAAAAGAAATACTGACATTCTCTAAGATCTGAACATCAGAGCAGATTAGCTCGTAAACAGCATCTTGTTCTCAGAAGCTGAAATATTTTGCCATATCAAGCAGCACAATGGATCGGAAACAATACTAGCAGAAGGCATGGTACCAGGAAAGAGGAGCATGGGCCAGTCATCAGGAAGATGGGCACAAGATATAAGTGACAGCTTGGATAAGAAAGTGCATAGGGCAAGGGAACTGGCGAGAGGTCGAGTTTCTTTCAGGCAGACCGTTCTGCATAAGACCTGGTGATGATGCTGATATATGGCAGTGAATCTTGTAATGTGAACTTACAAATCAGTAAACAGTTTGGAGACAATGAAGGTGTGGTTTTTCAGGCAAATCTTGTGAATGCCTTTGACAGCTAGAGTAACTTACAATAGCTGAAGAAAGAGGAGAAGAGAATAACACAAGACAGATAACTCTGGACTCAAATGATATGGAAGCTTCACAGCTGACCCACTGGCTGAAATACTTGATGATGATGAAGACAAAATGACAACATCAGTTGTTGCTTTACTGTCTGTAAAAACCGCACTTAAATTGTATTTTATTGCATGAGTTTTAATAACTCGTATTTTATTTTTATTTCAAATTAGAATTTATGTGTGCATGTGTTATTTTTTTGAAAACACACACTGAAAACTTAATTTTGTTTGCCCCATTGCTTCTACATTAAAATCAGTTTGCACCATGCTAATGCACCTTACTAAAATATATTTTAAAATTGAAAGTAAATTGTGATTTTTTTTCTTCTTTGACTTCTAATAGCTTGTGAACTTACTTTGAAATTGCTTAAATTTCAGTGACTGGTTTAATCTGTTATATTCCATTAAGGGTGTGGCATTTCAAGTGTAAACATACTTCGATGTATTTTAATTTTATTTCTTATATGCTATAATTGCCTGGGAAATTGCAATTGTAATTGAGCCATGACATAATGACTTTATTTATTGTATTTACAATATATTACAGGAAGAAATAAGGACGTCAAGGAAGATTTGCTAAAAATCGAAAAATCAAAATATTTCAGCTTTTGTGACAAGAAGGCTGAAATATTTTGGTCGTATTAAGCGCTATGATTTAAAAAAAAAAAAGTAATAGCAGAAGGCATGGTACCAGGAAGGAGGGGCAGGGCCGACCAACACGTAGATGGGCACAGGATATAAGTGACTCCTTGAATGTGAAAGTACATGAGGCGGCAGAACTTGCGAGAGACCAAGTTTTTTTCAGGCTCACAGTGATAAGAGCGACGTTCTGCAAAGGGTCTGCTACATAACACAAAAAGAAACATATGCTGTGATTTACCATAACTTTACTATGTTAAATAAAATGTATATTTAAAATTATATTTTTATAATGTGGTGGTATAAATTTGTGTTGGTAAACATTCCATGTGTTCCCAGCAGATTATGTGAACTACATTTGTACATTTCTCTGATACATGGTTGTACCTTCTAATATATGGCTGTGAATCCTGGACAATTAATAAACAAGCCGAAATATCTTGAGGCCTCGGAGATATGGTTTTACAGAAGAATCCTTGGAATTCCTTGGACAGCTAAGAATAGTTACCCAGATATTTTGAAAGAGGCAAATGCTCGAAGACAACATATCACAAACATCAGAAAGAGATAGTCATCATTTTTTTCGGTCATGTTATGATAAGAGGG